AGTAAGCAGTCATCCAACAGCTTAGAAGTATATCATTTTGCATTTGCAGTAAATTTAAATTCCCATAACCCATAATAAATATGCAACTTGATACTGTATTGACTTTAAACTCCTAAATCTGCTGGAAAATTATATTGAAAAGTGGTGACTGATTCCAAATACGGACAAGATTAGTGATAATAATTAAGAACTTCTATGAAATATATTTCTATTACTATTGTCGTGAATGTGCTTCTTCACATGATGCTGGAACAATCAGATTCAAACAAGTGTTTCTGAATTATGTTTATAATAAATCTGTTTTTTATTTACTAAATTACTTCTGTATATTCATATCTCTAATTGTCTTTTTAAAACAATTTCTGACGAAAACAAATTTAAGTCATAGCAGTTAAGGTACTGTATGTTGCTTTTTACATGCATAGGTTACTCATAAAATACTTCTAATCTCAGATTGAAAATTTCAAGATCAAATATGACCTTTCCTTTAGACTTTCACACTTACTGTACAGTAGATAGCCACTCTGGTTTAGTCTGCAGCAGTGAGGTGTTGTTTTGTCTTAAGGCACTCAGCGGTAGTATGATACATTTTTTCACAGTCATTTATCAAAGTATATTTGTTGTTAGCTACGTCGTACCATAGCAAAAGAGCATGTCTTTTAAAAAAGTCTGGATCTTGTTCAAATCAAGCACGGCAGTGGATAATGTAAAAGTATGAACTGGAAATCTGTGGAAATAACAGGTTGTTGGAAACCTTTATGATCAATTTGTCAAATAGTATAAATAAATTACCAAGACAATTTACAACCTATTTATTTGTGTAACACATTTTTTGTTCAGACAACTTTAGAATGTGACTGTACGTGGTCACTGAATTAAGCAATTACATTAATACATAAATGAGATAAATAACAATGCAGTGTCATTCACTCCACAAGATTTTGTACTTTTCAATAAAATGTTGTAAGCACATCTCCATGTACACAGTGAAGTTTTGTAGAAAACAAATGAAGGCCTGCCAGTAAGCCCTTAAGCTTCAGAGCTCTATAAAATCCCATTTTATTGTACTTCTCTCATTTAATGCTTAAGGTTTATATTTTTCCTTTCTTTAACAGCTTCACAATAATAACTTGATTGAATCTGAGATATATTTACGTTTTAATAGGGGTAAAATGATGACTGGAGGTTTCTGTTGTTCTTATGAGTGTGTGGCATAGGCTACATGTTTAGCTGCATGCAGAGCAAGTAACCATAATCTGACCATCAGTTGTGGCTCCAGCAGGGTTTTACTGCCAGGTGTAAACACACACAGTACGCAGTGTTGTACATCTGGAATGGGATCAACTAGGATACATGTTTGTTTCGCAGTCTTTTGAAACAAGTTTTGGATTTAGTAAGGACTAAAGAGGGGTTTGTGTTGGACAACATTTATTCACCCTTCGTAACCTGCTTTTCTGTGCAGGGTTTGCAGGGAAGCTGGTGGCTGTCTCAAAAGGTCATTGTGGGGGAGGTAGAATAAACCCTGGACATGTAGCCTGTTCATCACAGGACCTTAAAGAGAATATTGCCCCTTTTCCATTAGGACCTTTAGTACCGGTACAGCATGGCTCTACTTGACTCGGTATGGTACACATTGAGTCTCCATTATGCTTTCAGTACCTTTACAGTGGGCGGGGTTCAAATTGACGTAACGCACTTCACCAGCTGGTGGTGGTGAGACGCTGAAACAGGTTTCAGTACAGGATGAGAATTTATTTTTGAAGTTTCTGGTAAATTGAAAAGAATACAGACTAATAAAATTATCTATCTA